ACATCTGTATAAACTTGCTTACTGGGGCTATTCAGTGCCCTGTTCACGAAAGTGGCATTCATTTCTAGCCGTGGCGCCATTTGGTGCCAATTTGGCGCCACTACTTTTTTCACCAAAATCTTTATAAACTCGCAGCCTGGTTTGTGGAATGGTCACGTGATCGTCTTTTGCAGAGCATACATAAATCACGTGAGCTTGCGGCGCTGGCGGCTCTGCGCTCACCATAGCCGGTGGGTGCTGTAGTTTCGCTGGAAGTGTAAGTATTGTATGTCTGGTTAGTCCCTGAGCAGGCGACGAGTAGCTTCCTTTGGGACAGAAAATGCGTTTGGCGTCTTAAAGGCGGACTACGATGAGCCAGAGGGAAATTCGTCGGTGGCGGGGTTGGAAACAGAAGTGTGGGTGATAGTTGACGTGCCCGTGGAGATAGAAGGAGGGGAAACCGTCAGAAACGCTCCAAATGCCCCAATTGTGCCGATGAGAGAGAAAGAATCGATCTGGTTATCGAGCGAGAGGTCAGAGAAAACATTTAGAGAGCATGCAAACGAGCAAGACAGCACATAAGACATCTATCAACGCGGTTAGAATCACTTGAGCAACTGTGCTCTCTACCGTCATTACCCTTATAGAGAGATTAGGAATTTACAAGTAATGATAGGCTTTGCCGTCAACAACACCATAAGGGATTGCGTTCCCCTTCAACCCTCCTTGAACTGGCCGCTCCTGACAATCTCTTCTATGCCTGAACTAAAGTGCACGTTAAAGTGTACCAGGACTTCATCTCGTCGCTTTTTTTTTCTACAATTAAAAATGGATCTGGTTTTCTTCACTACTCTTGTATAATTGAGCAACCTCACAGTGATTTTGAGCGGCAACCGAATTTCCAGACTCAACCTGCCTGGAAGCTGACCGAAACTTTCTGCAGCAGTAGCCAGTCCCACGGCATTTCATTACTGGATGCTAATAGAGTCTGACAAAGAAACAAAGAGGAGTCCAAAGCTGCAGGAAACAGCCACAGTTCTCTACGAAAATTATCTCATCAGACTGTTCGAGATCCAATTTTACAGGAGCTTGGAGTTTATTTGCTTTTTTTTGAGACGTAGACTTCTCACGAGGGATTTAATTCCTCTTGCGGAGTCTATCCGTTACCCACATTGTCGGCATCCTTCAAATCTTGAAAATAAACAGAAACGGGGTATAATTCCCACGGGAAGCGTGTACGCGAAAAGGAGCCCAGAGTCTGTTCAGGCTGGACTCAGATCTGAATTTCCGAGAGTTTCCCCAATAGGTGGAAAAAATGTCACGTGGTGGATGGGGGGGGGGGCAGGGAAATGTAACCGAAAGAGTCAGATTCTTCATTAGCAGTCCAGATATACCGGTCTGACGGAATTTCTTTATTCAAATCTTCCACTCTTTAGGCCTTGTTTTGAGTCAATATCACAGAACTGAGGAATCAGGAACTACAAGAGTAAACTATCGGTTTCAATTACCCATCCTGGAGATACAGCCAGAAGTTGCGAATCGATTCCACAACAAAGACTCCATGAGAATGGTAATTCGCGAGTAGGGCAACCCTAAAGGTAGCTCGATCCTATCAGCAAGGACTTCGCCACGCTGCTATTCGACGGTCCATGTGAATCCCATGGCCTCCATTCGAGGAATTATGTCTGAGTGCCTTGGGTGAAGAGAATTGGGATCAATTTATCGATCAGTTTCGAATTTGCAACGAATCAAGACGAGAACAACATGTGGCGGCCGTGCAAGTGCAAGTCGCGCTCATTCAGTCTCTCGACATTGGGCACAGATGGTCCGAAATGCAATCGGCCCTGAATCCTTGTCTGCAAGCACTTAAATGTTCCGCGGGACCCTACTTTGAAGGTGCAACCCGTAATTAACTGGGGCACAATAATTGCGCAGGGTAGACAAGTTTGGAACTGCGAATGTGTTGATTCTTTGGGGTAGCGAGCAATAGAGGCAGAGCTTGCTGCCCACTCCCTCTCGTCGTCGAGTCTCTCATTTGAGCGCTCAGTATTTCTTAAACGCATACTCATGGAACACCCTGAATCGGCTGCGAAAAGAAAACATTGGGATTTGACTTTCCAGCGGGATTTTGCACTTCTTTATTGACAAGTCACTTACTACTTTGTCACCATTTTTCATCTGAGCCCCACTACCCACACCTCGCGCTTAACTAATGCACCTTTGAGCTACAAAACAACACAATCTAATAGTCTTACCGTATTCTCGCATTGATAGTAGTACATGTTGATACCCCAGTTTCCGGTTTTCTTTTGCCCGTCGACTACCTCTCCTGAATAGGCACATTCACGGATAATTGACTGCTTGCTCTCAACGGTCTGCAAACAGGACTTTGTGACGGTATACCAACTGGTACTTCTTCAATAAAACCTTATGACTATGAAATTTCTGATGATGTAGCGAGTGCTACTACGGTGACCTGCATTATTGCATCATACGTTATCGCAACCACAACTAAATGTTACCTGAATGATTTTTCGACATCCTTTCGCCTGTGATCCTTTGAACGTTCCTTCTTGAAGAACTGGGCAGTTCTGAAGTAATACCATTAACATCGCGAGAAGATTCCATTTTAAGTCCCTAGTCCATAATATTTTCACGAGTCCTTTCAACTTTGCTAGTAGTAGGCGATCTTTCTCACCGGTGTTGAACACCCTTATTCATTTCAACAAAATCGAGGAGGCACGGAGTAGTAAGTAATTAGGTTGCAACGGGATGGTACGAATGGCTGCATATTTGCTGCAGTGTCGATCTAGAATGCAAAAAGCAGCGGCTATTTTGATTTTACTTTATTTGACTACTGTAGTAGTTGATGTAAACCTAGATGCATGGTGAGAACCATGTAAGAGAGAAACCCTTGGATGGGGGTCAGGAGATTCGGAGCGCCGTGGCGTGTGAAGGCAGCTGCGTGCGCCCATTTGGGAAAGTGTCATGCCTAATCAGACGCGCATCTGTCTAGATTTGAGGGCTTCGAGAATTCACGGCATATCGTACTTGATTCGACTCGGAAGAGGTGGCATAAGTCTTCAAACGTAGTTATGAGATGCCGTACTGTGGCAAAGTTTCTGCGCGCCACCACGATCGGATGTCCTGACCCCTTCTAGTATAGGTTTTTAAGTCAGTCACTACTGGGATGAAGAAACTCTTTTCCTTATCTGTGAGTATTCCAAAGTCAATTTTATTGGAAGCGGCTGTTAGTAAGCCTTGGAACTTTGTGTGATTCCCAAAATCCCAGAAACAGGAATAACGATTTTCTCAACCTTCGATTTTCTTGGTCAGAATGACCGTTGGTTTTTGTGCTTTCCTTTTCACATACGTGATTGCGGCCGCTTTGAAAGGCAGTCAAAGAGTACTGAGGAGAATAAGAAACATCCGGTTCCGCGTCCAACATCGAGTTCTACGTTCATCTCTTCGACTCCGTAGTTCTTCCTGCACCAACTTACGCGTCAGCGACATGGGCTCTATGCACGCGTGAGAAGCATACGGCCTAACGTGCTCTCAGGAGAACAGGTTGGAGTTTCAAAAGACAAGCAATTGCACAAGAGAACTAGAAGAGCTGAGCTCTATCAGCGACCAAAGAACAGGGGCGCTACCATATTT